TGTGGGTATTATTCGCCATAAGGGATTTATCATTGGCCATCTCCCCAGTCTATTTTACCTTTCCCATGTATATACTAGCTATTTGTCCATGACGTGGGAAAATGCTGTCCCCAGGGTTAAGTACAGGGTTTGTTTTGGAAGACAGCCTGCAGGCTGTTGTATTGTGATGATCATATATATTAGAGATAATTTGCCTCTGGGCTCTTTGACGTGAGCTGGTAGCTGAAGACTGACACCCCCCAGGGACTACCCTTTACACCCCTCCTCCCCCATCTTTTACTGCTCTTCTTCCTGCCCCCCCCCCCCCTTCCCCCTCCTCTGCTCCTGACCTCTGTCCCTTGGCTCTCTACATTTTTTCCCCTTCTACTTCAAGGCTGCTGGGGTACCCCATGTCGGATGGCTGATGTCATATCCTACTCTCCACCCCAGGAGGGCTAGGGGACTGAAACTTTTGTTGGATTTTTGTTTTTCTTAGGCTAAGTTTGTATTTAGAGTTTGAACATGTTGTTATACGAACTGTTGGGATAAGGGTCATGCATTCTGTCAGACTACCCTGCATGGGGTGGCTGACTGTTTTGACATCACCTGGCATTTGCATGATCATGCTTAATGGATGCATTGAATGTGGGTCAGGGTTGGGATGGGAAGTCTCCAACCCTGCAGAGGGTTGCACCCGATGAGTTTTGCCCTGTGTTTGTGGGTGCTTGAGCCTCTATCACCTAGGCAACCTAGGTTCTACGCTTGGGGGTTTCCATTGGACCCCTAGTCTTTCCCTCTCTTCATCTTTCTTGTCTCTTTTTTTTCCGTCTCCTTCTTTCCTTTTGTTTTTTACTCTTCTTCTTGTTTCTCTATATCCCCCACTCCCCCCACCCCCTCTCTCCCGGTTTTTTTTTTTTCTCTGTTTATGCCATCCCCACCCTTCCCCATAACTGCCAGTGGGCTGGAGCTCAACCGACTAGTGTCCATCAATGTCAAGGGGCTGAACACACCAGACAAGCGCTCGAAATACGACACTTCCGTGAGACTTCAGGGATCAGTGGTGTGATGCAGAGGGGCAAGCGCTATTTATGAAGGGGTGCTTGGCAACACGTTCACTTTAGTAAACTTATATCGCCCCAATTCAAATCAGATCACCTTTTTAAAGGGGGGTCCTCTCGAAACTAGAGGACTTTGGAGAAGGGACATTTCTCATGGGAGGGGACCTTCATTTTACTATGGATCCAGCCTTGGATACTTCCACAGCTGCCACACATTTCCCATGCATCGCTAAAACGTTTGAAGAAAAACATCCATGTCTTTCCTCTGGTGGATATCTGGAGAATACTCCACCCAACGCACCAGGACTACACATTCTAGTTGCACCCTCATGACTCGTACACCAGAATTGATCTTTTTTTGATTCCCTAAATCTGTTTTATCGAGGGTCCGAACAGCATTCATTGGTTTGATTACCTTTTCAGACCATGCCCGTGTATGGGTGGATATAGAGTTATTGTTCTCCAGACCTCAGCCGTGGCACTGGAAACTCAATGAGTCCCTGATCCAGAAGCGGTGAAAGAAATATCTGGGGAACTGCAGCTTTTCTTCTCTACCAATGCAGGCCCAGACATTGCCCTGATGACAGTGTGGGAGACACACAAAGTCTATGCTAGGGGGGCCCTCATTATGCTGGAAGCCCAATTGAAGAAAGAAAGGGCTCAACAAATTTCTGACCTTCTGACTAAGATCAATACCTTGGAATCAGCCCATAAAAAAATCTCTTGCGACCAAGCTCCTGTCGGAGCTCATGGTCCTAAGGGATCAACATTAATCCCATAACTCATGGATAAGACCCAATAGAAGATCCACGCTACGAAGGACATTGCCTTCCAACGCTACTATGAATCACTCTATAACCTTAGATCGGTGGGCTCTATACCCGGAAACTCAGACAGGACAGAGACTATTCAACAGTATCTGAAAGAATCGGGCCTTCCAAGCATCCCAAAGGTGGACTTAGCTTCCATGGAAGCCCCTCTTTCTGCAGAGGAACTGACGGGCAGTAGTCATGTATCACATGAAATCTGGGAAGGCTCCAGGCCCGAACGGATATTCCTTGCTTTACTATAAGATGTTCAGTTCCCTTCTCTCTTCATATTTTCTGGCTGCCTATAATACAATGGGGGCAGCTTTCCTGAGAGACGCAATCAAGAATCATATTTTGGTCATATGGAAGGAGGGCAAGGATCCGTTCTACTGTCAAAACCACCTGTCTCCCTCCTGAATGTTGACCTTAAATTATTCACCAAAATCCTAGCTTGGCGCCTGATGGTCACCATGGACCAGGGCCGGGATGGAGTCTAAGTGGGCATGGTCCCTAATTGGGAATCAAGGGACAATACGACTAAGGTCATAAATGTAATCCATGTGGCCAGTGCCCGAAAAATCCCCATGTTGCTTCTCTCCATTGATGCCGAAAAGGCATTTGACTGAGAAAACTGGATCTTGCTGAAGAAGACACTGAGACACAATGGTCTAGGGCAGCGAAAAATGCGGTGAATGCAGGCCATCTGCTCCCACCCCCTCCGCTCAGGTGAAGGTGAATGGTCATCTACAGTATCTCACAGAAGTGAGTAGACCCCTCACATTTTTGTAAATATTTTATATCTTTTCATGTGACAACACTGAAGAAATTACACTTTGCTACAATGTAGTGATTGTACAGCTTATATAACAGTGTAAATTTGCTGTCCCCTCAGAATAACTCAACGCACAGCCATTACTCAAACGCACACATTAATAACCGCTGGCAAGAAAAAAGTGAGTACACCCCTAAGTGAAAATGTCTAAATTGGGCCCTCTTTTGTGATCAGCAATGGGACTCACCAGGGATGCCCCCTCTCTTTCTTGATCTTTATTCTAACTTTAGAGCCTTTTCTATGCATGGTGAGAAAAAAGTCCCAATATCCAGGGCCTCTCTATCAACCCCTTGTTGCCCCCAAAAGTTGCCGCATACGCAAAACGGATTAGTGTTTTTTCTTCCTAACGCTCTTCTATCACTCCCAAATACTTTCAGAACTGAAGACATGAGAATCCTTGAGTGTGTCAGAGGCTTTGAGTGTGTCCATGTTGGCTTCTTAGTCCACCTTACTTAAAGCCAATTTTTCATTTAAATGGGCTTCTTCACACATCAAATACTTGGGCATTTACCTCTCCTGCAGATTGGAAGACGTTTTTTCAGCTGAACTTCCCACCACTTTTAACATCTATAAAAAAAAATAAAAAAAAATGGATCTTTCGACCTGGCAGAATGGACTATTTTCCTGGTTCAGACGTTGTAGTAATATACTGCCCAGACTTCATCCTCTTCAGGCTATTCCGATCCATGTGCCAGGCTCATTCCTGTAGGCACTGAACCAAAATATTACTAGTTTTGTTTAGGAACAGAAACCTCCCTCGGTTGTCTCTAAAGCTACTATGACTGCCAAAACTGCAGGGGGGAATGGCCTTGCCCGATGTGAACTTGTATCATATTGCTTGCCATTTGACCAGTGTTAGACTAGTGCCGGCATGGTACTTTGAGGCAATGGGTACAGGTGAAACAGGCCTGATCAAGGATACTGCTGAGTTCACTACCTTGGTGCCATACAGACTTACCCACCACAATCCTTGCACACCCCACTGTGGGAGAGAAGTGCTGTATTTGCCGCAAACTCTTCAAGACCTCAACAATTTCACCGATGCCCTCCCCATGGATAACCCTTAAGGCCAGGTCTGCAGGACCTGAGATTCCAAACCCTGAAATTCCTTGGCCTTTTTTAGGCCCGTCATTTCCTCTCACATGGCCAACGGTTCTCAGATGACAAATGATGGAAACACTGTCCAATATTTTCTGTCAAATTGTAATAACCATGCTGCACCATATAACAATCAAATAACATAGAAAGGTAATCCTAAGTAGAGCTCATTTTCTGTATTTGTAAGGAAAAGTTTGTTTTCCAACATGAAACAGAGAAACCAGGCTCCTGGAATAATCAGTTTAGCACAAATCAGCTTTAAAAAAATTAGTGTCTCAACAAAAAAGGCTCAAGGAGGAAGCAGACGTCTGTGGAAAATGGTGCAGATGATAATATGAGACTCCCAACTTGAATCCAGTGTTGTTATATCGCCTACAATTTTACTGACCCATCACCCTTCATACCAGTCTCCTGGGCCACGCTTGTAAAGTTTTCAGAGAGGTCTATAGCATATATGTTGCATTTACCATACATATATCTACATCATATGCATGCTTTTTCTGAAGAGAACGTAAGTTTAATTTCATTATATGCCTAAATATAGCAAAAACATTTAAAAACACAACACAAAGACATTTCCTGGACATATAATTGAAGCAATCCCACCACAATAATGCCACACAGAACAGAGCTGTAAGCAGGGACACAGCAGTTGTGTCAATAGTGCACAAAGATGTTCTAGACATGGAACGTCCCACACTGCTGTTGATCTAAAATGACCTGAGTCCATGTATACCTTAATAAACCACTCTAGTACCTTTCCCTACACAATCAGTTGAGAAGTCGTAAGGAGCACCAAGCACTACAGACATAGTGGTAAACAACTCCTATCTGGATTTTGTGCTCTACCCTCAGCAGCTCTAGCTTCAAATCACACCTTCTCCAACAGAGTGGGTGGAGCCTGATTACCATGGCCCTCCCCACTCCAGTCTTAATAATGAAAGTGAATTTATGGTCCAATCAGAAGTCTTGATGCTACATATCTCAGTAATATTATATTCTTCACTGCATTGTCTTGATATTGAATTCAGAAAAGTTACAGGTAGCCACCCTTAATCCAAAGGATGCCATGCATTTGGCCAAGTGCAGCTGGCTCCAGTTGAGTTCGGCATAGAAGTCTTTCACTGGCAGTCCCAAACTCAGATATCCCTTTGGACCTTTTCAGTAGAAATAACTCTTTGTAAACTAACAATACCTGGCACCAGGTAACAATTTTATAGACAGTTACTGAATTGTATTGGAGAATGATCCAAATCGTGTTGTGCCTCGTCCAGCTTGAAAGTGAGATTCAATCTGTTCCAGACTTTTCCCCTTTGTCTCTGGGATATAAAGAACTGTAAAAAGAACATTGACAGCACAGAAAGCTGCAAATAACCAGAATGTCCCATAGGAAGTCAGAGAATCCTGCCAAAAGAGAGGACTGTTAGAAGACAGTCATCTAAACTCCACATACACAGCTGAGTTAGATAATAAACATAGTGCTAGTGACTGGCAGGGCTATATATCAGTATGTAGCATTACTCAGTAGGGATGAGCTCAGGCATGTTCACATCCCCGTGTGAACCCACCATGGCTATCCCACCAGGAAGTGGTAATTGCACAAAGCCACATCACAAGCTGCCGAGGCATTTCCCATCCCCCAGCCAAGCATACACCCCTTGTATACAGTCACTGATGGGCAGAGAATGCCTTGGCTCCTTATGAATGGCTTTGTTAAATGACCATATCCTGGTAGGATAGCTCAGGTGGGTCTGGACTAGAAACAGACATGTCTGAGCTCATGACGTCACTAAGCAGGACTTGCCAAACAGCATTATTACATCTAAACTTTTCAACACCAACCTTTTCCCCAAAATAAGCTTGGAATTCAGCATCAAAATCATTGATTGAAAAAGGACTATGATAGTTTATACATCAAATAGTGTAATAACATCCTTATGCACTCAAAAATCCTCAAACATATGGACTAATGGACAATAGCTATTTGAAAATCATTATTGTTTATACTTGTCCAGTTTTTGAATTGAAAATACTTTAACCCTCAACCTGCTCCAAACCCACAGATTACTAAAGATAAAATAAACTTCTAGAAATGTTAGAAAGGAATTAATGCCTTCTGTTCTAAAAAAAAAAAAAACCCAGAGTAACGCAGGCCATACATGGGTCGAACTCTGAACAAATGTTCTTTAGAAAATCAGAAATTTTGTGCATTTTGTAATCCGATGGAGCCACCGTTGATTTCGAAATTCAACCAACCAAGCCTTCAATTTAACCTTGTTGCTACAGAAAAGAATTTTCTTTTTTTTCCAGGTCCCAGCTCACGCTCATTTCTTTTTCGATTATATTTCTTGTATGATTCTCCCATCATTGACTCGAAATTTGTTTGTTTTTCAAAAAATTTCCAACATGCCCAGTCACTCAAATTCGTTGGTCACACGAAAATAGTCAGTTTCTGTGGCCCCACTAATGGTGCAAAATTCGAATGAAAATTCTTAGAAAAGATTTTCAAAAGAAAATACTTTTTGGAATTCGAACAATGTATGGCCGGCTTTAGGCTTACTGGTAACTCATTTTCTATGAGTCTTCCAGGACAGCCTGTGAGACATTGTGCTCCTCCCTCTGGGACAGTTAACACACTAGCCCAAACTCCTTAAGAGGTGGTCCTCCAGGTATCCTCTTCAGTGTCCCCAAGAACCACCGGAAGAAACTGGAAGACAAAACACAAAAGCATAACAACACCGCTCAAAAATTGGAGGAAAAAAAAAAAAAAAAAATCAGGGTGGGAAATCCGGCTGTCCTGGAAGACCTAGAAAATGAGTTACCGGTAAGCTTAACTCTGGTTTTCTCCCCCTCATCCTCCAGGACAGCCTGTGAGATGATGAGCAAGAAACCTACCCCCCTAGGGTGGGACAACTGCCTGGAGGACTTTCCATCTAAACACTTGCTCTTTATTCAAACAGCAGGTCCAGGCGATAATGCTTTACAAACATGGAATAGCTGGACCACGTGGCCGCCTTGCAAATATCCTCTGGCGTGGCACGGCCCTCTCCGCCTAAGATGCTGTCAAGGCTCTGGTTGAGTGTGCATTGTCAAAGGGCGGTGAAATTTTAGCAAAACTATATGCCTCTGTAATTGCTAATCTAATCCACTTGGCAATAGAAGATTTAGATGCTGCATACCCATTAAGTGCCCCTGAGAAATTAACGAACAAGGAATAAGACTGCCTGAAATCCCTGGTAACTCTAACGTAAGGCAAAAGGCTCATTCTAACATCTGATAAACTAAAATGTATTCTCCCAGTCATTAGTTGGGGAAGAACAAAATGTCAGGACAATATCTTGTGGCCTATGAAAGACTGAGGACACATTGGGAAGAAAACCTGGGTCTGTTTTAAGCAAAACCCTATTGTCAAAAATCAACAAAAAAGGGCTCTCTAATTGAGTGCTTGCAATTCACTTACCCTCCACGCAGAGGTGATTGCGACTAAGAAAACTGTCTTCAAGGTTAAAGATCGAACAGAAAACTTCTCCGGGGGTTCAAAAGGGACTGTAAATTAACACCCTAAGGACCAAGCATAGATCCCAAGATGGACAGGCCTGTACTTTCGCCAGTATGGACTTGGAGAGGGCCCTAAAAAAATTTGCTACAAAACGGGTCTTGTTGGAGAGAGACCTGAAAGAAAACATTAAGAGCCGAGACCTGCACCTTTAAAAAAGGTACTTACCAAGAGCCCCTTATCCACCTCAGCCTTAAAAAAAAAAAAAAAAAATCCAAAACTGCCTGGACATTCAGGGGCTTTCAGCCCCGAACTTCCATCCAGGAGTTGAACTTTTTCCACACCGTAGCGTATATAGCTCTAGTGACCAGTTTGTGGCAGCTAACCAAGGTCTTGATCACATTCTCTGAGAACCCCTGGGATCTCAAGATTTCCTCCTCAGAAGCCACTCAGCCAACTTTAGGGTTGCTACCTGGGGATGAAGAATTGGTCCCTGCAAAACCAAATCTTCCCTCTGTGAAGAAGAATCGGAGGGGTCAACACAAGACTCTTTAGTAAAAAAACCCATGGTCTCCTTGGCCAAAATGGAGCCACTAAAATGAGGTTCGTCTTTTTCTACCAGAAATTTCTGCAGGACGGCTGGCAGCAGTCTTACCGGGGGAAAGGCATAACGGAGTCTGAACTCCCAGGCGTCTGTGAAGGCATCTGTACCCAAAGCCTGACCCAGGGAATGCACAGAAAAGAACTGGATGACCTTGTTGTTGCCTTCTTGGGCAAAGAGGTCTACCTCTGGCACGCCCCATTCCTGGGCGATGGCCTCGAAAACCTCCTGATTGAGTGACCTGCTGGACCTGAAACCGGCTGAAAAAATCCGCTAGCAAGTTTTGCACCCTCTTTAAGTGGACGGTCACTAAGGAGGCCAGGTACTGTTTGACCCACCCAAAAATCCTGTCTGCAAATCAACTGGAAGGATGGGCTCCTTGTCCCTCTTTGTTGACATAGGACACGGCAGTCACATTGTCCGAGCGGACCTGCAGGTGGTTGCCCACCAAGAGTGTTTGGAAGGCACCCAACGCCTTTTGAATCATCAACAACTTCTGATTCGAAGCCAGTCTGTTTTTTTCCAGAGACCAGGACTTCTGGACCAGACTGCTGCCCAGGTGGGCCCCCGAGCCGAAGGAACTGGCATCGGTCGTCAAGATTAGCAGGCTTTGTGTGGCCCACGACAGACACCTGCAAAAGCGACCGCTTAACCCTCGAAGAAAGGTGGATCAGGAGATCCAAAGTCTCCTGACTCCCGTCCCAGCAACGCAGAATAAAATGCTGCAACAGGCGTTGATGGAACCTTGCACACAGCACCACTGGAAAACAAGATGCCATAAGGCCGACCACCTTCATGACCTCCCTGATCATGACACTCAGGTTGGTCCGTAAGCGTGCCACCACCCGATCCAATTTCAGGCACCTCTCCTTCGGAAGAAATATCTTTCTTTCTACTGAGGAAATCACATAGCCCAGATAAACCACCTCCTGCGTGGGGACTAGCTGAGGCTTGTCTGTTGATAAGCCATCCGAGGGAGCACACGACGTCCTGGCCAACCTGAAGATCCTCCAGCAACTGCTGATTAGTCCTGTCAATAAACATAAGATCATCCAGATATGGAACAACAGTGATGGCCTTCAACCTTAGCGGAGCTAGGGCCTCTGCCAAAACTTTTGTGAAAATCCTTGAAAACGAGGATAGGCCGAACGGAAGAGCCAGACACTGGAAGTGGTGGACTCCTGATCTGACCCTGACCTCCAGTCTGAGGTATTTCTGGAAAGCCGGGTGTAATGGGGTTGTGGAGGTACACATCCCAGAGATCCACGGTTGCCATAAAACAGCCTGAAAAGAGGATGCTTGTCACCAAAAAAATCAAATCTATCCTGAAATGTTTGTACCTCAGGGACCCGTTGAGAAGACGAAAGTTAAGGATCAGGAAAACTTGCCAAATGGCTTTTTCACCACAAACATCCCCCCCTCCCGGCTGGGTCCAGACAGGGCTATCACACTAGAGGCCCGGGTTAAGGTTGTGGAAGGAGTCCGCATTCTATGAATCAAGCCCTTGAAAGACTGGAAAGTAGAAGCGACCTAATTTTTGACTGAAGTGAGAATTTTGTGACACACTGTCACTGACTCATCCATAACCAGGCTATTAATACACCCAGGGCAAAGGGGCTTTTCCCACGAAAAGCCTAATTTTGCCACACACACCACGGCACACTTCCCTCCCGGAAGCTTGCGCCTGGGTTTTCTCCTGGGCCTTAACCTAAAAGAAAAAGACTCAATAAAGACTGGCTCCTACTCCCCACCCCCAAAACACCACTGTGCTGGGCTAGCGAAGAACATGCCCTCCCAAACACCCCATGGCCACTACCAGGCACTAGGACTAAGGGACCACCCAGGGACAGCCAGCGGGAGCCCTCCCCGCGCTTAACCTGAGTGGTGCCAATGCCTGTGGAGCCCGAGTCCACTGCCTGGGAAGGTGCAGTACACTTTATTTCTCCTCCAGAGTGATTTCCAAGGCCTGGCCGGGTCCCCACTCAGTGCCAGAATGCCTTGATCAGTCCCACCGCCGTGCCTCTATGAGACCGCCGTCTCAGGTGCCCTCTGATGAGATCACTTCCATTTGAAGCTTTCCTTGCAGCTTCTGGAACCAGCATGGAACAAAGCTGGCCCCGCCCCCAGAAGTCTCTTTTCCCCCTGGGCTGACTGAGTGGCATGGCGGGTGCTGCTAACCGACAAAGGTCCTCTCTCTCTCCCCCCGAGCACAGGCAGCAGCAGGCCACGCAGTCCCACTCCCCACCAGGGGGGATCGTGCCAGGCAGAAGTACACATGGGGAGGGAGCTACACCCAGGACAGCCCTGAGGTATGGAGCCACACACAGGATTCTGAACATGCTTCCTTTCCGTCCAGAGGAAACACTAAAACTGAAGGGGAGACCTGGATGACCACTGCTTAAGGAGTTTGGGCTAGTGTGTTTCCTGTCCCGGAGGGAGAAGCCCAATGTCTCACAGGCTTTCTTGGAAGACGAGGGAAGAAAAATAAAGTATAAAACTACTCAGGGTACACTAAAGGTAATAAAGTCATTCACAGTCATGTATAATACAAGAACAGTAACACAACATGCTTTCCAGCAGTACCAATAACAGAAGTCTAATATGACTGAACAATGGTCACTTTGTTCAACACCCAGAGTCAGTTAGTGAAAGTAAAGGTTTCCTTCATGTGAAATTGTGATCAAACATACCATCATGTCCTGAAACTCCTTCGTCACCAGGAAAGCGCAGCCCCAATTAGTAATGACACACACTCCACTGGCCACACCCCTTGCACGCAGAGGGAAGATTTCAGACATGACCAGCCAGGGAATGGGACCCCAGCCAATTGCAAAACCTGCAGAGAGCCCAAAACAGAGAACAGGTGCTAAGGATCACTAGCAGACCAATCAGAAGATATTTTCATGTTTTTAAATGAACCCCTCTTATGTGGGTGGAGAGAGACAAAACTCCACTAATCGCTCCCACTGGAGACACAAACCTACCACATTATTTCTGCTGGACATCACCCGTCCAATCCCTTCCACTTGATGGGCGTTAGGGCAGGGGATGATGGAATAGAGGCAACTGGTGTGGTGGTATGTATAGTGCAGGCGGCCCTACAAGCATGGTCATAAGTGTTAAGGGTGGTCAGTGACTTGGCAGGAAGGTGCGATGGTGCAAGTGGAGTGTACAGGTGTGCTGGTGGGTTTGGCAGCGAGCTAGAAGAATGCTATGGGGGTTTGTACAGGAAGCTGGTTAGGTGGGAACAGGTGGTGGGCGTAGTACTTACATAGTTAAAGCAGGTTGAGGGGTGTAGTGCTGGCAGAGTTAGGTGATCAGCTTTGATTGCTGGCAGAGGAGTAAGTAGTGGGAGTGGAGGGGAGCTGGTGGTAGTGCTAACCGAATGGCTGGTTTTGGGGAATAGGGGGTGCTCTCAAATCAGGCTTACCAAAAACCTTCCACTCCTTCCAATGTAGCATGAGGGTGCTGGCAGAGTGGTGAGGACAGTCAGAGGAAAAAAAAAATTACTGTTAGTACTTTTGGAAGTGCACCCATGTCTCTCACTACTTGACCAGCACCCCTTCCTCATTCACAGCAGCAGCTGGAGCCAGGCAATGAGCCACTCCATTCAGCACTGCTGCAGCTATTGCAAAGCTGGTGCAGACTTCACATATGCAGTAGAAGTGCAAAGTTCTTGGACTACCACATGTGCAGTATTGACAGTGCAAACCAGTCACTACCTCGTATGCACAGGATCTCGCACAATATTTCTGACATCACAATATGGTGGAAAGATCTCGCATGTACAATAGTGGCAGTACAAAGTGATTACTACTGCTCATGTGTGGGATCTTGCCATTATTTTGTGACGTCAGAAATACGGTGTTGAGATTCCATGTAACAGCAGTAGCGGCAGTACAGACCAGTCACGTCAGTGCTATAATTCCAATATAACAATATGGTGGCAGCATTTAGAGAAATTGCTATAGCGACTTCCGAAATCATACACTACTCTAGTCTACATCAGTGTTTCTCAACCTTTTTCCAGTCGGGGCGCCCTTGAAAAGTATTTTCAGTCATGAGGCACCCCTGTCCAAAGCTTGGTTCTTGTTACCGTGTGTCGTGGAATGCACGCGAAATTGCACTCATTCCTGACATGCAAATGCTCTGCTCTTTAGGGGTACCCCCATACATTGGCAAACGCTTTTTGTTGTGGTGCAATTTTAAAACTAAGGTCACAGACGACTTTCCATGAACTTCTGCGGGTAAGGCAGCCCATTGCAATGAATGGGCTGCCCTACACACAGCCACACAGATGTGAACCAAGGGTCTGTTCACCTGTGAGGTTGCAGGGCGGTAAAACCATGCAATTGAGCTGCTTTTGCCACCCCCAACTGCTCCCCCTTTAGCTGCAGAAACAGTAGCTGGGGGCATACACATGCTGTTGCTGCAGCTGGAAGTAGACCTCCAGGTGAATGGGGTTGAACTACAACCACCCCGCAACTGTGCGGTGATTGATGCTGCTTTTAACGGGGTTAAACTAGGTGGTGAGGAAGCAACATTTTGCCTCTTTACCACTTGTCAAATGCCTCTGAAAAGCTATCTGAGCATTGATTGCTTTGCAGAGGAGCAACAGTCCTTGCTGCTATTACGAACAAGTCCTAAAAAAGCAGTTCTGAAAAGGACAGGAATAGGGGGTCGAGATTAAAATACACACACACACACACACACACACACACACACACACACACACACACACACACACACACACAAACGTTGCAGTGCCTTAGCTTCCATCACATAGCAGGGTACTACACTCTAGGGGAACGCAGAGAACATAGAAGACACTCCCCTTCCCGTTGCGGAGCGGTGTAATGGCTCCCAGTGCCGATGTACAGTGTAGCTGGGGATCAGGAGCTCGGGCTCAAGTGACAGCCATTCTTCCCTCGGCAACCCCTGAAGACCCCTGGCGGCACCCCGGTTGAGAAAGGCTGCTCTACATGCACAGTATAAGCCACTATATTGCTTTCATCACAGCACTTTCTACTTTGCATGCATGGGGGATTAAGGAAGCAATATGGCAGCGATGGATAAACATGATTGTTTATTATGCTAGAGGTTCTAGAAGTGTCACTCCATGCATAACAGCTCATATTTATGATGCAACCACCGACCATATTAGATTGAATCCAAAGGCCATCTTGGAGAATTCAAAGAGGGCAAAATTATTAATTTATAATTGCCCTATATATCTACAATTGCAAGAAAAAGTATGTGAACCCCTTGGGATTACGTGGAGTTTTGCATGAATTGGGCATAAAATGTGCTCTGAACGTCATCTAAGTCACAACAATAGAAGAACACAGTCTGCTGAACATAATACTACACAAACATTAGATGTTGCCATGGTTTAATTGCACATAACATGTAAACATTCACAGTGCAGGGAGGAAAAAGTATGTGAGGCCCTAGCTTAATGACTTCTCCCAGAGCTAATTGGAGCCAGGAGTGAGCCAACCTTGACTCCAATCAGTGTGATAATATTGGATGTGTTGCTGACAGCTGTCCTGCCATTAAAAAACACACACCTGTTTTGGGTTTACTGGTTTCAAGAAGCACTGTCTGATGTGAACCATGCCTCGCAGAAAAGATCTCTCAGAAGACCTACGATCAAGAATTGTTGACTGCATGAAGCTGGAAAGGGTTACAAAAGTATCTCCAAAAGCCTTGATGTTCATGTGTCCACGGTAAGACAGACTGTCTACAAATGGAGAAAGTTTAGCACTGTTGCTACTCTCCCTAGGCGTGGTCGTCCTGTAAAAATGACTGCAAGAGCACAGCGCAGAATGCTGCATGAGGTAAAGTAGAATCCCAGAGTGTCAGCTAAAGACCTACAGAAATCTCTGGCACATGCTAACATTTTTGTTGACACATCTACAATAAGGAAAACATTAAACAAGAATGGAGTACATGGGAGGACACCACGGAGGAAGCCATTGCTGTCCAAAAAGAATATTGCAGCACGTTTGAAGTTTGCAAAAGAGCACCTGGATGTTCCACAGCACTACTGGCAAAATATACTGTGGACAGATGAAACCAAGATTGAGTTGTTTGGGAAGAACACACAACACTATGTGTGGAGAAAAAAAAGGCACAGCACACCAACATCAAAACCTCATCCCCACTGTAAAACATGGCAGAGGGAGCATCATGGTTTGGGGCTGCTTTGCTGCCTCAGGGCCTGGACGGATTGTTGTCATTGATGGGAAAATGAATTCCAGAGTTTATCAAGACATTTTGCAGGAAAGCGTACGACCGTCTGACCGCCCAACTGAAGCTCCGCAGAGGATTGGTGATGCAACAGGACAATGACCCAAAGCATACAAGTAATTCAACAAAACACTGGCTGCAACAGCACATAATACGCCTTCTGGAGTGGCCCAGTCAGAGTCCTGACCTCAACCCGATTGAAATGCTGTGGCATGACCTTAAGAGAGCGATTCACACCAGACATCCCAAGAATATTGCTACACTGAAACAGTTTTGTGAAGAGGAGTGGTCCAAAATTACTCCAGATCGTTGTGAAGGTTTGATCTGCAACTACAGGAAACGTTTGGTTGAGGTTATTGTTGCCAAAGGAGGGTCAACCAGGTATTAAGTCCAAAGGTTCACATACTTTTTCCTCCCTGCACTGTGAATGTTTACATGTTATGTGCAGTTAAACCATGGCAACATCTAATGTTTGTGTAGTATTATGTTCAGCAGATTGTGTTCTTCTATTGTTGTGACTTAGATGACGTTCAGAGCACATTTTATGCCCAATTCATGCAAAACTTTACGTAATCCCAAGGGGTTCACATACTTTTTCTTGCAACTGTATTTAAACACCATTTTTATTACTCTCTTGCAATAACTGTGGCATATGTGTATCTATATTTTATGGAACGTGTATGTCAGTTCTGAAAGATCTGCAGCATTTTCTGCAAATACAGTAAGCCAATGTGACCACTTACAGAATCTCCCTCCTGATTTCAACTGCCCTACACTGGTGAATCATCCACAGATGAAGCCTTATTGGTGAATACTCACCAGAAATAAAGAGAGCCATGCTGGCAAGAGGCAGCCATGCCAATTGTTCTCCTGTGCTATCTGGCATAGCTGTCACTGGTAGGACACTGGAGGAATTCTGTGTATGCATCTCTATAATTTTAAAGTACACCCCAAACAGGGCGGCGCTGATAGCCATGATGGTACCTGAGGAGAAGAAGATAATGTGTTAGCTAAACAAACAGTCACATCAGAATGGTGGGAGGGGGGGACTGTGTGGTACAGGGAATAACAGCTACATAAAAACTAGCAGAACTCATCACTATGATGCTTTTTGATCAATTTTATTTTGAAGGGGAGCTCCAGGAGGAAGATATAAATACACTATTAAACCACTTATGTATTAATTGAAGAAAATCACTAAATGTATTTTTACATACAGCTAGTATAAAATGCCCAAATATCAGCCTCCTGTAAAAAGGGAGTGAGAAGGCAGCACTCTGAGCCAATCAGGGCGCTGCTGTTCTGAACTGTTCTGCCAGTAACATAAGGAATATTTTTTACAGTAGGACAAAGCACAGGAACAACCCCATCCTGTGCGGTTTATATTCTATCCATTCACATGTTGTGCCAGATCCAGGACCAGTACACATTGCTAAATGGCAGTGTACTCTGTATCGAGATCAATGTCAGGTCTTGATATCAGTGCTTGCATTATAGTGTCTTCCCATGGCATCCCCATTGTGGGACACTCAAACAACCTCTTGCTGTGGGCCTTAGTGGACAACAGCTCCATAAAGGGTCTCATACTGGTTTTTCACTTTAAGATTCTACAGCATTTGGCATCATGCCTCTCCCTCTTGGTGTGCAAGCTACCAATTTCTCAACGACTGCACAACAGTCAGGAACCAAGGGGTCTTCCCTTTTCCGTTTCTTCTTGGACTACCTCAACCCTCATCTCTACTGTTGTATATCTAGCTCCTGAGCTGACTAGCTTATCTGCCTCTAAGGATCAGGTAGTCCCTGGCCCAATGAACCATTCTTCTAGTTTTGCTGCTGACAAGGGTATCAGTGGACAATGTTGAGGTGCTCACATGCCCTTACCATATAGGAGGAAGAGAAGCTCTGGTTGTGATAACAGCATTGGTTTGGATCCTGACTTGGATGAAACTCTATATTCTAGTCATGTCCACGCTGCTCCTGTCATGTTTGATCTGCTGCAGGCCTGTTCCTTCCAAGTGGCGATTTCCAGACATACAGTGCATCCAGAAAGTATTCACAGCTCTTAACTTTTGCCATATTTTGTTATGTTACAGCCTTATTCCAAAATGGAATAATTTTTTTTCCTCAACATTCTACAAACAATACCCCATAATGACAACGTGAAAGAAGTTTGTTTTGAAATCTTTGCAATTTATTTCAAATAAAAAAAAAAAAAAAAAAAAAAAAAAAAAAAAAAAAAACACCATGTACACAAGTATTCACAGCCTTTGCTCAATACTTTATTGAACTGCCTATAGCACCAATTACAGCCTCAAGTCGTTTTGAGTATGATGCTACAAGCTTGGCACACCTATTTTTGGGCAATTTCTCCCATTCTTCTTTGCAGTACCTCTCAAGCTCCATCAGGTTGGATGGGGACCGTCAGTGCACAGCCATTTTCAGATCTTTCCAGAGATGGTTAATCGGGTTCAAGTCTGGGCTCTGGCTGGGCCACTCCAGGACATTCACAGAGTTGGCCCGTAGCCACTCCTTTGTCATGTGGACTGGGTGCTTAGGGTCGTTGTCCTATTGAAAGATGAACCATCACCCCAGTATAAGGTCCAGAGCACTATGGAACAGGTTTTCATCAAGGATGCTTCTGAACATTGCTGCATTCATCTTTCCTTCAATCCTTACTAGTCTCCCAGTTCCTGCCACTGAAAAACATCCCCACAGCATGATGCTGCCACAATGCTTCACTCTAAGGATGGAATTGGCCAGGTGGTGAGCGGTGCCTGGTTTTCTCCAGACATGATGCTTGGCATTCAGGCCAAAGAGTTCAATCTTTGTTTCATCAGACCAGAGAATTTTGTTTCGCATGGTCTGAGTCCCTTATATGCCTTTTGGCAAACTCCAGGTGGGCTGCCATTTGCCTTTTACTGAGGTGTGAATTCCGTCTGGCCACTCTACCATACAGGCCTGATTGGTGGAGTATTGCAGAGATGGTTGTTCTGCTGGAAGGTTCTCCTCTCTCCATAGAGAAATGCTGGAGCTCTTTCAGAGTGACCATCGGATGCTTGGTTACTTCCCTGGCTAAGGCCCTTCTCCCTCGATCGCTCATTTTGGCTGGTCAACCTGCTCTAGGAAAATTCCAGGTGGTTCCAAACTTCTTCCATTTACGGATGATGGAGGCCACTGTGCTCATTGGGACCTTCAATGCTGCAGACATTTTTCTGTACCCTTCCCCAGATCTGTGCCTTGATACAATCCTGTCTGGGAGGTCTACGAACAATTCCTTGGACTTCATGGCTTGGTTTGTGCTCTGACATGCACCATTAACTGTGGGACCTTATACAGACAGGTTTATGCCCATGTCCAATCATCTGAATTTCCCACAGGTGGACTCCAATCAAGTTGTGGAAAACATCTCAAGGATGATCAGTGGAAACAGGATGTACCAGAGCTCAATTTTGAGTGTCATGGCAATGGCTGTGAATACTTACAGTGGGGATCGAAAGTTTGGGCACCCCAGCTAAAAATTTGTATTAATGTGCATAAAGAAGCCAAGGAAAGATGGAAAAATCTCCAAAAGGCATCAAATTACAGATTAGACATTCTTATAATATGTCAACAAAAGTTAGATTTTATTTCCATCATTTACACTTTCAAAATAACAGAAAACAAAAAAATAGCGTCTGCAAAAGTTTGGACACCCTGCAGAGTTAATATCTTGTACTGCCCCCTTTGGCAAGTATCACAGCTTGTAAACGCTTTTTGTAGCCAGCCAAGAGTCTTTCAATTCTTGTTTGAGGTATCTTTGCCCATTCTTCCTTACAAAAGTCTTCCAGTTCTTTGAGATTTCTGGGCTGTCTGTCACGCACTGCTCTTTTAAGGTCTATCCATTGATTTTCAATTATGTTGAAGTCAGGAGATTGTGAAGGCCATGGCAAAACCTTCAGTTTACGCCTCTTGATGTAATACCCGTGGATTTTGAGGTGTGTTTAGGATCATTATCCATTTGTAGAAGCCATCCTCTCTTTAACTTCAGCTTTTTCACAGATGGCATCAAGTTACCATCCAAAATTTGCTGAAATTTTATTGAATCCATTTTTCCTTCTACTCGTGAGATGTTCCCTGTGCCACTGGCTGCAACACAACCCAAAAGCATGATTGATCCAACCCCATGCTTAACAGTTGGACAGAGGTTCTTTTCATTAAATTCTTCTCCAAACTTACCTTTGCTCATTCCGGCCAAAAAGTTCAATTTTAACCTCATCGGTCCACAGAACTTGTTTCCAAAATGCATCAGGCTTGTCTATATGTTCATTTGTTAAGTTCAAACGATGATTTTTGTGGTGAGGACATAGAAGAGGTTTTCTTCTGATGACTCTTCCATGAAGACCATATTTGTACAAGTATCTCTCTTTATAGTGGAATAGTGTACCACAACTCCAGTGTCTGCCAGATCTTTCTGGAGGGATCGTGCAGTCAAACGTGGGTTTTGAATTGTTGTTCTCACAATCCTGCGAGCTGTTCTGTCTGATATTTTTCTTGGTCTTCCAGATCTTGCTTTAACTTCCTCTGTTCCTGATGACTGCCATTTCTTAATTACATTCCGAACAAAGGATATTGACATCTGAAAACGCTTTGCTATCTTCTTATAGCCTTCTCCGGCTTTGTGAGCGTCAACTATTTTCAGTTTCAGTTTTCTAGACAACTGCTTAGAAGAACCCATGGTGCTGATTGTTGGGGCAAGGTCAGATGAGTCTGGGCATTTAAAACCTTTGAGATTGACATAACCTGGTCTTCCCAGACGATGATTGAGAACAATCCATGACACTGGCAGGTCTCAGCTTGGCAAAGGGGGCAGTGCATGCTATAAATTCTGCAGGGTGCCCAAACTTTTGCAGACGCCATTTTTTGTTTTCTGTTATTTTGAAAGTGTAAATGATAGATTTTATTTCTAACTTTTGTTGACATATTATAAGAATGTCTAATCTGTAATTTGATGCCTTTTGGAGATTTTTCCATCTTTATTGGCTTCTTTATACACATTAATACAAATTTTTAGCTGGGGTGCCCAAACTTTCGATCCCCACTGTATGTACATGTGGTTTTTTTAATTTTTAATAAATTGCAAATATTTCAAAATGAACTTCTTCCACATTGTCATAATGGGGTATGGTTTGTAGAATGCGGAGGAAAAAAATGAATTTATTCCATTTTGGAATAAGGCTGTAACATAACAAAATGTGGCAAAAGTTAAGCGCTGTGAATACTTTCTGGATGCACTGTAGTGGAGCTCTCTGTGCATAAAGGTTCTTTTCTGATCCTGTGATGCAGGTGGAAGATGTTGGAGGGTAGTCTCATGATACCCTGGACAATTTGCATGCAGAATAGGCTAGCTTCCTGTTGCAGTTATCCCCTGGCAGTGAGAGGAAATGTACTAATGACTCTGTGGTTTAGGCTCGAATTCCTTGACTGTTCTTGAAATGTCATTTGTCATCCTAAGACTCCAGTAACTCTGAGGCCTCAGAATAGGCAGGGTTTTTCAGGCAAGTTCTCAAGAGTTTCCCCAGAGGTACCTTTTTCTTCAGTGTGTATTGAGCTTGGTTCCCAGTTCTATTGGATCAGTAGTTCTTATTTTTCACTGAGGAGATCTATCTGTGACCCCCTGCCTGGAAGCTCTTATGCACATTTTCCTAATGATCATGCAGATTTTGGGGAATCAAAATATAAGAGGGTACAGGGACCACTGGTCACACCCTGGAGGTTCCCCTGAATCAGTAATTCTCAACATTTCTTCCTGGGCAGTCCTTGCTTTTTTTTCTAGGTGGATGTCTGCCCTGACATTCTTCCCAGATATGCATACCATTTCTCCTTGAAGCTAGGGGTTGGGGGAGTTGAGCCTTTTCAAGCCTTCGCTTACCAGGACATCGATTTCCGTTCCTCTGTCTTATCCCAGGACTTGCATAGGTGTTCCTTTTCCATGTTGCTGAGCAAAGTACATATTTACCAGTACACCATGGATCTTCACATAATGGCCAAAGGTTCTATTCAAAGTGATTACATCACAGTGGAAGACTGCATTGTTTCAGGGTTATGCAGGAATCCTTATTCATCATATGCCTAAAGAAAGTCCTGTACAGTCCCGAAACGTTGCATTCTTCTGCTGTGGTGTGATCACTTTGAATAAAACCTTTGGGAGTTATTTGAAGATCCATGTTGTGCTGGCAAATATGTACATTGATCAGTGAAGTTTCCAATCTCCAGTTGACCGTTGCTGCAGCTATTCTTACTGCCACCGACACAGAAATAGTCAGGGGCAGCTGGGTAATTTACACATTCTTCTGGCGGCTGCAGCCACTGGGACAGTGTGTAAATACAACAAGCCAACTGTTGCCTCTCAGCTGGAAGTAATCTGGCGGCTCTGCAGTATTATATTTATATTGTGTTTACGTGCCCAAAAGTTCACTTTAGTGTATTTTTTACTGACATTTTGCATTTCATAAACTGTTGCACTAATATTGTTTGACATAAAAAACTGAACTACAACTATTTTACTCTCTAGAGTGTCTGCTTGCAGATAATATTTAACTTTTGGGGGTTTTGCATAATTATCAGGCTAACATGATTTTTTTTAAACACAAGTGTAAAAAAAATAATAAATGACTATGGCAGCCAAAGGGCCTGACAGTAGAGGACTTCCTATGTCCTTCAATGTTCAAGATAGAAAACAGGATTTTTGTAGTCACTGTAAAACCTATGACATGATGGAAGTAGGAAGGGTTGGAGGAGTAGTAGGCCTAAATTTTTTTATACTTCTGTATGTGGCAGCATAACCCAATGGTATAAGACTGTGTCCCTAAATGGGCTACAAGAAAAGGATTTAAAAGTACAAATTCCTGTTTTTCAAATAAACATTTATCACAGGGTGCTTTGTGCCCCTTAGCTTGCAAACAGGACAAGTTTTCTAAAAGAAGACCCAGCACTTCTTATTGGCAACTTGTCATTTAAAGTCTGTACAGGTCTGTCTGCTATGAGATGGAAGGAGTGAGAGTCCCTGGCCTAAGTCATTTACACATGTGCAATCTGATCTCTTGCTATTCATGTCAGAAAACCTGGCGTTGCAGTGTCACCTGCTGCCTGCAACTGGTAAATGTGAAGTATTCATCTGAAATATTTCATATCCACATCGGCCACTGCAATGATCAGTAGGGACAAAGTATTGTTATTGCAAGCAAAGTCATATATATTGTGTGTACCTAAAAGGAAGTGAATCAACTGCGTGCTGTCCACCCATTATAGCGTTGTCATTATAGAACGGGAACAAAATGACTTTTGGCAGTAGTACTGCTTACACAGTCCAGTGGTCTCATTACTGGCCGTACTGCAACCATTTCATATATTGAAAAAACTGAATATACCTGAAATAATTAATAGAATTTTCCTTCCTGCCTTGTCCATGATGAGTGCCGCCACAGCTGTGAACACCACCTGGATCAACCCTACAATGACAGAGGCCAGGCTGCTGTTCTGAAAAATATTTTAAGACACAGTGCAGTCATGGAGTTATTTAGTGTGGTCAGTCCTTATTACTGTACACCAAGGGCACTACATACCTTGAAATTGGCTTCTTCAAAGATCATGTCAGCATAGAACATAATGGCATTGATGCCAGTGAACTGCTGGAAGAACATGAGGAAAATCCCAATGAGGAATGGCTTATAAATGGATGGGTTCCAGAGATCTGCCTTCTTCAGGCTACCCTCCTGGACAGACATAAAAGTAGATTATTATGCTAGTCAGTCATTAATAATAATTCTCTCATAGATCACAAACAGAGAGAAATCTACCTTCTGGTCTGCACTGGACTCAGTCTGTCGGTATTCCCATTCATGGTCCACATCCTGTCCCCGCAGGAAGCTGAGCGCAGACAAGGCCTCAGCCCTCTGATTCTGGCTGATCAGGTACCGTGGTGTTTCCGGCATGAAGATCATAAATAGTGCCATAGCGACAGGTGGCACGGAGCAAAGCACAGCAAGCCAGCGCCAATCCAGGAACATTCCTGCACGAAACCATCAGACACTGCTGCACACAATGGGATACACTAAACATTGCCTCCCTCAGTCCACCACCACCTCATACCTGCAATATAAGATCCAACAATTCCACTGACCACCATCAACTGCACACAAGAGCCCAGCAGCCCTCGAACTCCAGGGTGGGAAGTCTCAGATATATATACCTAAAAATACAGGATAGTACATGAGAGAGGGCTTCTTCTGCCATGGAAGAGTGATTTTCCAGGCAATGATGCACATCCCTGATTATTACTCCACAATGACACTAGCTGTTTAGTTGCTCCCCAGCCTCTGGTTTGTCAGCAGTTTGCAGTCCTAAAATAACTATTTCTAAAGTGTAAAATCTATGCTAGAAGCAGGAATAGCTGGCAAAGAATCAGATCAAAATCATGAGGGAATGAGAAGCCAACATCCCACAGTTCTGTTGTGTAAAGGATGCCATCCCCAGATATCTTGCAGATGTACTTACTGCAGATCTCTGCAGGACATCAAGGATTGGAATGAAAAGTAGGTAGAGGGAAAGTAGTTTGAAATAGTAAAATCTGAAAAGTTTTCCTTCTGAGTATGAAGACAAACAGTTTTATCATACAAGAAATATGAAATCGCTATGCAGGTGAGGTTTCCAGTGGAGTTCTATAATAAGAGTGACGGCAGAAAAACACCAAGTTGTCCAGCTTTTTTCTTTATCTTAACATTTTTGTTTCCCTGAAGTATAGACCTAAGTTTATCTAATTTATTTAGTGTGAATGGTATATGTGCAAGAGTAAAGACAAGTTGCAACTTGTATACTGCACTCTGCTACACAGCTGATGAAGTTGGAATTCTGATATGGAAACTGCTTCATTTACTGTGAACCAAGTAACCCTGCCAAGCCCAGAACCTCCTTACAGCCTGTACAGCAGTTAAGAGATATACAGCCTAATGCACTAAAGGCTGAAATGAGTTTACATAACTTTTTTTGGCCTGTTTTGCATCCATTTAACTTGCATTACTAAATTGTTATAAAATTTTCTGCACAAAATGTTGTGCTAAAATATTTTTACAAATTGGTGCATGTAAGCGCACATACAACATATGCGCTTTTTGCAGGCATTTGCAATGTATCTGCAGTTCTTTTAAAGCTCACTGTCCTGGAAAGAACCCTAAAAAATGCATTAAAAATAACTTTAGCAACTTTCTTCTTTCAGCTTAACATGTTCATGCACACAAGGATTAATACATGCAGCTGTTACCAGACCTTTCTGAGCATATTCCATTACTGTCCTGGATCACACATTGTCCTGGATCACACATTAGACTGACTACCTCCTGAAATGTGTTTGAAAGTGTCTACATTGCTTTACATGATATGAGAGGAAACTTACAGGTACTACTAATGAGGTGATGCCACTGGCCAGCCCAGAAAGCAGTCGTCCCCCCAGTAACATCCAGACATTCTGTGCTGATATGATCAAGGTGAAGCCAAGGACAAACGGGACAGAGCAGATAATAAGGGTGACCTTTCGGCCTATTCGGTCCACCATCCAGCCTCCAAACAGCCCTCCAACGGCAGCTCCAATTGTGACACATAGACTTTAAAAAAAACCAAAAAAATTTAAAAAAAACAAAAAAATAAACAACAGTTGTGAGCTAAATGAAGTTTATCCAATAGCTGACAGCAGCAAATCAGAATTCAGTTTGCTATAGGTAGTGACAGGAACAATTGAGTACTGTCCGTGATACTTTTTTTATTTCCACTAACATACAATTTTGAGGACAAGCTTTCGGGTAATGTCCCCTTCTTCAGGTCTAAGCTGTACTGAAACAGAGATTTAGCAGAATGTTGGAAGAGATGTAAGGGATGGGAAAAAAAAAAAAAAAAAAAAAACACAATTTGGGAGACCTCAATATTTCAAATCCATTCAGGAAAGAAAAACTTGTGAAATAAGAATGATAATTCTATTTGACACAAGAGATATTGGCCTGAATTTGGACATGGGATTCCTCAATCATTATCCAACAGTTTTTTACCCCCCCCAGACTTTGCTTTTGCTGTATCTTATCTCTGTTTTTTGTTTTTTTTTTTTCCCCATCCCCTACATCTCTTCCAACATTCTGCTAAATCTTTGTTTCAGTACAGCTTAGACCTGAAGAAGGGGACATTCCCCGAAAGCTTGTCCTCAAAATTGTATGTTAGTGCAAATAAAAAAAGTATCACGGACAGTACTCAATTGTTCCTGTCGTAAATGCACTAATACGGCTACAATCACCTCAAGCTATAGGTAGTGAGGATGTTGTCAGTGCAGTGTATAGTCTGCACAGTCACCATGCTACTAACTAAAATTGCATATTGAATAGTAGTATGGCACATGCTTGGCTCCGACAGATAGTTAACTATGTGGCATTTTCAGTGATTCAGCAATCAGTATCAACAAAAGATACAACAGACAGTGATGTGGCAGAGACATTCATTCCTGGATCAGTTGACACATAACACCAAATTGGTCTGCAGCAGTTGGTCACAGCTCATATTGGCATGTGCATAACACCTGACAGAATAAGGTGCTGAGGTCTCACTTATTTGTGATCTTCATGCAAATTTATGTCAACCATCAGCACATGAGAGACAGCTGCACTTCCCATTTCTTCACCCTGAATATATGATGACAAGGAATAAAGTCTCTGACTCTGTACATTTCTCTGTGATAAATGTCATAAATCTCTACAGGAATAAAGGCAGAGAAAACATGGAAAACCAGCATCTCCACTCAGCAAACAGATGGCTACCTCCTCCAGCCCAAAGTGATCTGTCAGACCCTACATCCTCCTACCCCCAGAGATCCATTAAACCCTTCCACTCCTCTGATTAATGAGATCCGCTCTCTCCTCTCATTGCTTTGTCAAATCCTCCCTCCCCTCTCCCTGATCGGTCGAATCCTCCCTCCCCCTGATCGGTCGGATGCTCCCTCTCCTGTCCTCTCCCTGATCGGTCAAATCCTCCCTCTTCTCTCCCTGATCAGTGGGATCCTCCTCTCCTCTCCCCGATTGGTCAAATCCGCCCTTTCCTCTCACTGAGCTGTGAAATCCTTCCTCTCCTCTCACTGGTATATCAGATCCTCCCTCTCCGTGATCCGTCGGATCCTCCCTCTCCGTGATCCGTCTAGTACAGTTCTGAACTGCGCTGTTTCCATACCTGAGAACTCCAATGTGCATAATAAAGGAAAACTCACTCCAAACCATGAAGCTGCACCCTTATCCAATATTAAACGTGGATCTTCTGCATTCTTCAGATCAGAGATGGCTGGAGAGCTGTAACCCAGGACAAAACCAAAGCTCAGAGGACCCAATACAGCAGCCAATGTGGCTAAATACAGATTTCTGTTCTGCACCTTCCTGTGGAAGGAAAACGAAGGAAAGGCCTGTTATAAGACAGTGTCAGAACATATAGACAGGACCACTCTTCTTTGCTTATATATATATATATGACAATATAACAATCCTTTGTAAGTATATGATCGCATTAGCTGGTGTCAGAGCATTCACATTGGACAATTCTCTGATGGTCAGGATCTGGGTGTGTGCACTGGGCCAACTTCTGCTGTTATATGACAACAGCATAGTGAATGGAATTGGTAGTGATCAGTGTCAGGATGTGCACACCGGAAAATACTCTATGCTAGGGTTTTTCAACTGGGGTTCCGTGGAATACTAGAGTTCCACTGTAATCTACCCATCATTTGCAGGCAGCTGATGAGATCACATTCCCACTTATCCAACAATCTCCTATCTTTTCCCTGCATGCAGTGCGGAGAGGCAACAAGTCTCTGCTGTTCCCCGCCAGCCTCTCCTTCTGTCCATCCCAGGTGCTTGTATGTGTGACATCAAATGGGATGAACAAGAGAGGATGGCCAGCGGGGAACAGCACGCCGGAACAGGACTCTATCACAGCAGTTTCCCTGAGCCGCTCTGCATGTAAAGGAAACTGCTACTGTAATGTGCCCTTCTGAGCCCCCCATGTAATATGCACTGCCACAACTCATGTAATGTGCCCTGCTGAGCCCCCCATGTAATACGTTCAGACCCATCTTATGTAATGTGCCCTGCTGAGCCCCCCCATGTAATATGCGCTGCCCCATCTCATGTAATGTGCCCTGCTGAGCCCCCCCATGTAATATGCGCTGCCCCATCTCATGTAATGTGCCCTGCTGAGCCCCCCCATGTAATATGCGCTGCCCCATCTCATGTAATGTGCCCTGCTGAGCCCCCCCATGAATATGCGCTGCCCCATCTCATGTAATGTGCCCTGCTGAGCCCCCCCCCCCCCATGTAATATGCGCTGCCCCATCTCATGTAATGTGCCCTGCTGAGCCCCCCCCCCCCCCATGTAATATGCGCTGCCCCATCTCATGTAATGTGCCCTGCTGAGCCCCCCCATGTAATATGCGCTGCCCCATCTCATGTAATGTGCCCTGCTGAGCCCCCCCCCCCCATGTAATATGCGCTGCCCCATCTCATGTAATGTGCCCTGCTGAGCCCCCCCCCCCCCATGTAATATGCGCTGCCCCATCTCATGTAATGTGCCCTGCTGAGCCCCCCCATGTAATATGCGCTGCCCCATCTCATGTAATGTGCCCTGCTGAGCCCCCCCCATGTAATATGCGCTGCCCCATCTCATGTAATGTGCCCTGCTGAGCCCCCCCCCCCCATGTAATATGCGCTGCCCCATCTCATGTAATGTGCCCTGCTGAGCCCCCCCCATGTAATATGCGCTGCCCCATCTCATGTAATGTGCCCTGCTGAGCCCCCCCCCCCATGTAATATGCGCTGCCCAATCTCATGTAATGTGCCCTGCTGAGCCCCCCCCCCATGTAATATGCGCTGCCCCATCTCTCATTTAATGTGCCCTGCTGAGCCCCCCCCCCCATGTAATATGCGCTGCCCCATCTCATGTAATGTGCCCTGCTGAGCCCCCCCCATGTAATATGCGCTGCCCCATCTCATGTAATGTGCCCTGCTGAGCCCCCCCATGTAAAATGCGCTGCCCCATCTCATGTAATGTGCCCTGCTGAGCCCCCCCATGTAATATGCGCTGCCCCATCTCATGTAATGTGCCCTGCTGAGCCCCCCCCCATGTAATATGCGCTGCCCCATCTCATGTAATGTGCCCTGCTGAGCCTCCCCCATGTAATATGCGCTGCCCCATTTCATGTAATGTGCCCTGCTGAGCCCCCCCATGTAATATGCGCTGCCCCATTTCATGTAATGTGCCCTGCTGAGCCCCCCATGTAATATGCGCTGCCCCATTTCATGTAATGTGCCCTGCTGAGCCCCCCCATATAATATGCGCTGCCCCATCTCATGTAATGTGCCCTGCTGAGCCCCCCCCCCCATGTAATATGCACTGCCCCATCTCATGTAATGTGCCCTGCTGAGCCCCCCCATGTAACATGCGCTGCCCCATCTCATGTAATGTGCCCTGCTGAGCACCCCCATGTAATATGCGCTGCCCCATCTCATGTAATGTGCCCTGCTAAGCCCCCCCATGTAATATGTGCTGCCCCATCTCATGTAATGTGCCCTGCTGAGCCCCCCCATGTAATATGCGCTGCCCCATCTCATGTAATGTTACCTGCGGAGCCCCTGTACTGTACCCTGCTGACCTCCTGTGCCCTGCTGCTCCTGGTACACTGCTTATCTCAAGTTCAATCCAAAATTGAGCAGCAGAAAAAGCAAGTACAAGTCTCATATTAACTAGGTAAGTGTTTATATGTATTCTATTATTTAACCGCTTCTCGACCGCCCTATAGCATATATACTGCTACAGGGCGGCAAGGGTGTGCAAAATCACCTATATATACACACACGTGAGTTTGTATTTCCAGGTAGGGGGCACACACGAAGCGAAGCAGCTTCAGGGTGTACGCCCCGGACCATTTCCTTCCAGTTATATGACAGCGTTAAGGTGTGCGCACCGGACCATTTCCTTCCAGTTATATGACAGCGTCAGGGTGTGCGCACCGGACCATTTCCTCCAGTTATATGACAGCGTCAGGGTGTGCACCAGCACCGGACCATTTCCTTCCAGTTATATGACAGCATCAGGGTGCGCGCACCAGACCACTCTCTCTGTTATATGACAGTGTCAGGGTGCGCGCACCAGACCATTCTCTCTGTTATATGACAGTGTCAGGGTGCGCGCACCAGACCATTCTCTGTTATATGACAGTGTCAGGGTGCGCGCACCAGACCATTCTCTGTTATATGACAGTGTCAGGGTGCGCGCACCAGACCATTCTCTGTTATATGACAGTGTCAGGGTGTGCGCACCAGACCATTCTCTGTTATATGACAGTGTCAGGGTGTGCGCACCAGACCATTATATATGACAGTGTCAAGGTGTGCGCACCAGACCATTCTCTCCCTGTTATATGACAGTGTCAGGGTGTGCGCACCAGACCATTCTCTGTTATATGACAGTGTCCGGGTGTGCGCACCAGACCATTCTCTGTTATATGACAGTGTCCGGGTGTGCGCACCAGACCATTCTCTGTTATATGACAGTGTCAGGGTGTGCGTACTAGACCATTCTCTGTTATATGACAGTGTCCGGGTGTGCACACCAGACCATTCTCTGTTATATGACAGTGTCCGGGTGTGCACACCAGACCATTCTCTGTTATATGACAGTGTCCGGGTGTGCACACCAGACCATTCTCTGTTATATGACAGTGTCCAAGCGTGCACACCAGACCATTCTCTGTTATATGACAGTGTCAGGGTGTGCGCACTAGACCATTCTCTCGTTACCATTCTCTGTTATATGACAGTGTCCGGGTGTGCGTACTAGACCATTCTCTGTTATATGACAGTGTCCGGGTGTGCGCACTAGACCATTCTCTGTTATATGACAGTGTCAGGGTGTGCGCACCAGACCATTCTCTTTTATATGACAGTGTCCGGGTGTGCGCACTAGACCATTCTCTGTTATATGACAGTGTCCGGGTGTGCGTACTAGACCATTCTCTCTGTTATATGACAGTGTCAGGGTGTGCGCACTAGACCATTCTCTGTTATATGACAGTGTCCGGGTGTGCGCACTAGACCATTCTCTGTTATATGACAGTGTCCGGGTGTGCGTACTAGACCATTCTCTGTTATATGACAGTGTCCGGGTGTGCGTACTAGACCATTCTCTGTTATATGACAGTGTCCGGGTGTGCGCACCAGACCATTCTCTGTTATATGACAGTGTCCGGGTGTGCGTACTAGACCATTCTCTGTTATATGACAGTGTCCGGGTGTGCGTACTAGACCATTCTCTGTTATATGACAGTGTCCGGGTGTGCGTACTAGACCATTCTCTGTTATATGACAGTGTCCGGGTGTGCGTACTAGACCATTCTCTGTTATATGACAGTGTCCGGGTGTGTGCGTACTAGACCATTCTCTGTTGTATGACAGTGTCCGGGTGTGCGTACTAGACCATTCTCTGTTATATGACAGTGTCAGGGTGTGCGTACTAGACCATTCTCTGTTATATGACAGTGTCCGGGTGTGCGTACTAGACCTTCTCTCCCTGTTATATGACAGTGTCCGGGTGTGCGCACCAGACCATTCTCTGTTATATGACAGTGTCCGGGTGTGCACACCAGACCATTCTCTGTTATATGACAGTGTCAGGGTGTGCGCACAAGACCATTCTCTGTTATATGACAGTGTCAGGGTGTGCACACAAGACCATTCTCTGTTATATGACAGTGTCCGGGTGTGCGTACTAGACCATTCTCTCCCTGTTATATGACAGTGTCAGGGTGTGCGCACCAGACCATTCTCTGTTATATGACAGTGTCAGGGTGTGCACACAGACCATTCTCTGTTATATGACAGTGTCCGGGTGTGCGTACTAGACCATTCTCTCCTGTTATATGACAGTGTCAGGGTGTGCGCACCAGACCATTCTCTGTTATATGACAGTGTCCGGGTGTGCGTACTAGACCATTCTCTGTTATATGACAGTGTCCGGGTGTGCGTACTAGACCATTCTCTGTTATATGACAGTGTCCGGGTGTGCGTACACCAGACCATTCTCTGTTATATGACAGTGTCAGGGTGTGCGTACTAGACCATTCTCTCCCTGTTATATGACAGTGTCAGGGTGTGCACACCAGACCATTCTCTCCCATGTTATATGACAGTGTCCGGTGTGCGTACTAGACCATTCTCTGTTATATGACAGTGTCCGGGTGTGCACACCAGACCATTCTCTCCCTGTTATATGACAGTGTCAGGGTGCGCGCACCGGTCCATCCTCCTCCCCATCTGACTACACTGATCAGTGCAGTATGTATACAATCATTCCTGACCCCCCCCCCCCCGCACACCGTACCTCAGATATGCGCTGTGCTGTGTTGCTATGTCTGGAGAAGGAGATGGATCCAGTAGGGGTTGGAAATCCTCGTCGTCCATCATCCTGAAAGAGAAATCTGTCAGTATAGCTGTATATGTCCCACATCCTTAGTGTACAATCTCCTCCAGATGTACCTGATATGTAATAGGAAGGCACCTGACTGGACAGTTTGTTTGGGTTGCTGCTACCTGTAAGTGAAAGGACAAGGAGATTCAATGTAAAGAGCAGAGCACTGGTTCAGAGATGACCATCCTCCGTGAGCACAAGTCGCATATCAATTACCGAGCCCTGCACACACATCATGTATGATATAATCACCCCGGTCCTCATTACAGTCCTCTCACCTCATTCGGCTCTACAGCAATCACATGATCCCTTTCACTGGTCAGCTGAGTGCAGCACCTGACCTGATTGGCCCGCCCCTGGAGAAGGCAGCAGCTGGGATGATCCCTGTGATAGGCTCAATGCAGGCGCAAGAGCTCTACCACGACCCTCCCCATTTACCTACAAGCCAACATCTACAGCCCTGCCCTCATCCATCATGGTGGATCTAGATATTCTCGCGACATTTTCTCCGTCAGATCTGAACAGAAGCAACGAGCGCGGGGAGCGGCGGCAGGGGGCGGGACAGGCGGGAGTCAGAGTCTCCGCCTCCCGGGAAAGATGGCGGCAGTAAGGAGGACGAACCCGTGGGGAACCAGGTACACCGACTCCGGGCCCCCTACACACTGACAGCTGATGGGTGACTCCGCCCACTTCCTGTCTTCTCCTCCACCTCACCATCTCCAAATCCTTCCTCAGAACTCTGGAATTACCCGAGTGCCGCCCTGTCTCCACACTTCTCCCTCCCGGGGGTAGACTGACCGGAACACGGACTTTGCTGACATTCTGCACCTCACGATATAAACCTCCCGCCATTATATATATTATTGTGTACATATACTCTGCCCCACTTCCTTCATACCACTGTATACATCCCCATCCGTTATATCATTGGCTACACACTCCATGTACCTCCATCATGTATATCTCCGTATACACACTCCATGTACCACCATCATGTATATCTCCGTATGCACACTCCATGTACCCCCATCATGTATATCTCAGTATGCACACTCCATGTACCCCCATCATATCTCCATGTACACACACATGTACCCCCATCATATCTCCATATACACACACCATGTACCTCCATCATGCATATCTCCCATATACACACTCCATGTACCACCATCATGTATATCTCCATGTACACACCATGTACCACCATCATATATCTCTGTATACACACTCCATGTAACCACCATCATGTATTCTCCGTATACACACTCCATGTACCCCCATCATGTATATCTCTGTATACACACTCCATGTACCCCCATCATGTATATCTCTGTATACACACTCCATGTACCCCCATCATGTATATCTCCGTATACACACTCCATGTATCCCCATCACGTATATCTCCATATACACACTCCATGTATCCCCATCACCTGTATCTCATTATACACACTCCATGTACCCCCATCATGTATATCTCCGTTATACACACTCCATGTACCCCCATCATGAATATCTCCGTCCGTATACACACTCCATGTACCCCCATCATGTATATCTCCGTATACACACTCCATGTACCCCCATCATGTATATCTCCGTATACACACTCCATGTACCCCCATCATGTATATCTCCGTATACACACTCCATGTACCCCCATCATGTATATCTCCGTATACACACTCCATGTACCCCCATCATGTATATCTCCGTATACACACTCCATGTACCCCCATCATGTATATCTCCGTATACACACTCCATGTACCCCCATCATGTATATCTCCGTATACACACACTCCATGTACCCCCATCATGTATATCTCCGTATACACACTCCATGTATCCCCATCATGTATATCTCCGTATACACACTCCATGTATCCCCATCACGTATATCTCCGTATACACACTCCATGTACCCCATCACGTATATCTCCGTTATACACACTCCATGTACCCCCATCACGTATATCTCATTATACACACTCCATGTACCCCCATCACGTATATCTCATTATACACACTCCATGTACCCCCATCACGTATATCTCATTATACACACTACATGTACCCCCATCATGTATATCTCATTATACACACACCATGTACCCCCATCATGTATATCTCATTATACACACACTCCATGTACCCCCATCATGTATATCTCATTATACACACTCCATGTACCCCCATCATGTATATCTCATTATACACACACCATGTACCCCCGTCATGTATATCTCATTACACACACACCATGTACCCCCATCATGTATATCTCATTATACACACTCCATGTACCCCCTTCATGTATATTTCATTATACACACACCATGTACCCCCATCATGTATATCTCATTACACACACGCCATGTACCCCCATCATGTATATCTCATTACACACACACACCATGTACCCCCATCATGTATATCTCATTATACACACTCCATGTACCCCCTTCATGTATATTTCATTATACACACACCATGTACCCCCATCATGTATATCTCATTACACACACACCATGTACCCCCCCATCATGTATATATCTCATTATACACACACTCCATGTACCCCCTTCATGTATATTTCATTATACACACACCATGTACCCCCATCATGTATATCTCATTATACACATGCATGTACCCCCTTCATGTATATTTCATTATACACACACCATGTACCCCCATCATGTATATCTCATTATACACACTCCATGTACCCCCTTCATGTATATTTCATTATACACACACCATGTACCCCCATCATGTATATCTCATTACACACACTCCATGTACCCTCTTCATGTATATTTCATTATACACACACCATGTACCCCTATCATGTACATCTCATTAGGCCATGTACCCCCATATACAATTAGGTCCATATATAGGCACAGTTTTAGTATTTTTCAGGTATTTACAAAAACATATTCAAGCTATAGTTATATAATGGATATGGGCTGAAAGTGCACACTCTCAGGATTAATTTGAGGGTATGTACATCCAAATTGGAGGAAGGGTTTAGGAATTACAACTCTTAGGAGTAGCCATTCCTCTTTTTTCAAGGGACCAAAAATAAATGGATATATTAATATAATCATAAAAAAAGTTCATTTTTAATATGTTGTTGAGAATCCTTTACTGGCAATGACTTCCTGAAGTCTGGAACCCATGGACATTACCAAAGACTGGGTTTCCTCCTTTATGATGCCTTTCCAGGCTCTAACTGCAGCTGTCAGATAACTCCAGAGAACACGTCTCCACTGCTCTAAAGTCCAGTGGCGGCGTGCTTTACACCACTGCATCCGACGTGTTGCATTGCACTTAATGTAAGGCTTGGATGCAGCTGCTCAGCCTTGGAAATCCATTCCATGAAGCTCTCTACACACTCTTGTGCTAGTCTGAAGACTACACGAAGTTTGGATGACTTTTGCTATTGACTCTGCAGACAGCAACTTCTGCGCACTGTGAGCTTCAGCATGTGCTGACCCCACTCTGTCATTTTACGTGGCCTACCACTTCATGCTGTTGTTCCCAGTAGCTTCCACTTTGTTATAATACCACTAACAGTTGACCATGACGTTGTTTGTAGCAGGGAAATTTCACGGATGGACTTACTGCACAGGCGGCAACCTATCATGGTATCACACTTGAAATCACTGAGCTCCTGAGAGCGAACCCATTCTTTCACAAATGTTTGTAGAAGCAGTCTGCATGCCTAGGTGCTTGATATTATACACCTGTGGCCATGGAGGTGATTGGAATACCTGAATCCAATGATTTGGAGGAGTGTCCCAATACTTTTGGCAATATGGTGTATATCTAATTATATACTCACCATATACCTCCATCATATATATCTAATTATATACACACACACTATATAATGCCATTATATAGATGTCTAATAGTGTACATGCTTTATTTAACCCCCTCTCTTTTCTCCATTATATATATATATATATATATATATATATATATAAAATTATATACACACATGCTATATACCCCCATGATAAATCTAATAGTGTATGCACACTATATACCCTCTCCCCTTGCACAGAATTGTGACCCGGGATAAGGAAACAACTGCTACAAAATGACTGCAGAGCTCAATCTCATTCCCTTGAAAAATGAACCCTGTGAAGACTAAGATTGAGCTCTGCATTCACTTTTGCAGCAGGTGTTTTCTTATTCTGGGTCACAATCCTGTGCAGTGTCCTTTTGTCTCTTTCGGTCAGTTGACCATATCGATCGCATTTATGCTAATCAGATGTTTTCCTGGAAACTATATATGCTGTCGCAACCTTTGATACTGTACCTTGCGACAACACAAAAATTGCACCAACAATTTGCCCTCTTTGAAGCTCAGTCAGCTTCCGACATGATTCCGTACTACTAGCAGCACACTCAGTGAATGACGAAAGTGAGGTTTCCCACCTGTTAGCCAGGTGTCTCATCACACAGCGGAAGCAAAAGAATGTTACATCACTTCCGCTTTCAACACAAAACATGTCATCACTTTCACATCTGGAAATCATGTAGTGTTTCTGTGTTTTTGTCCAACTCCTGTATAATTATATACACACAATATATACTACTATCATATTTATGTCTTATAGTGTACACGTTATATACCCTTGTACTGTATAACCCCATCATATATCTAATTATATACACACATGCGCTATACCCCCATCATATATCTAATTGTGTACACACACTATATATTCCTTTCATAGTTATGTCTAATTGCATACATACACTATATACCCCCATTATATATAACATATGTGTAGTTATTTACACACACTATATACTCCCTGATTACCTCCACACACACATATATACACATATATATATATGTCCAGTTATTACACATATCTATATATATATATATATATATATATACACACATACACAGTGACGGAAATAGGTATTTGCTCCCCTGCTGATTTTGAATGTTTGCCCACTC